TTCTGCCTTTAGATTATTACTTTGCTGTGCCATAACTAAGCATGAGCTATTAAAAGTAACCACATCACTTCTTGAGTGTTTTGCTGCTTAGAAAGTTCTTCCACCAGATACACAAGTTCATCACTCTTAAGTGCTACCTTCCATAAATCCCTAGGGAATAGACATACTACAGCCAATTTCTTTGCAACTGTGTAACAAGGATGGGCCTTACCTCAATTTTCAAGAAGATATTCTTCATTTCCATCGGAGACCTCATCAGCATGGCTTTTACTGCCCATATTTCTATCAGCATTTTGGTCACAATTACTTAAACAATCTCAAAAAAGTTCCAAACTTTCCCTCATCTTTTTGTCTTTTTCTAAGCCCTCACCAGAACTGCCCTTAATGCTCTGTTCACTGCAATACAGTCTCTTTCTAGCCGGCTCCTCCTCCAAATTCTTTCAACCATTGCCCACTACATAATTCCAAAGCAGATTTCACATTTTCAGGTATTCACAGAGCAAATCCCACTCCTCGGTACCAATTTTCTGTGTTGGTCCATTTTGTGTTACTGTAATTGAATAAATACCTAAGGCTGGGTAATTTACATAAAAAAGAGGTTTATTTAGTTGATTGTTCTGTAGGTTGGGAAGTACAAGAAGCATGGTGCCAGCATCTGCTCAGCTTCTGGTGGGGTTGTTTGTGCTGCATCACAACATGGCAGAAGGTCGAAGAGGAAGTGGACATGTGCAAAGGGGCAAAACCCAAGGGCAACTTGCCTTATAACAACCCACTCTCATGAGAACTAATCCATTTCCACGAGAACTAATCCAGTCTCATGAGAGCAATAACTCTCACTACTATGGGAATGACACCAAGCCATTCATGAGGGATCCACCCCCATGACCCGAACATCTTCCAACACCACCATGCTGGTAATCAAATTGTGAGATTTGGTGGGAACAAACCACATCCAAACCATAGCAATACCATAAACCCAGAAATAAAAACTGTTTCATCAAAAGCAAGGCATATTTAAGAAGAAAATACATTACTATTTAAAATATTAATAGAGCTGGAACTACCAGAGAAAAAAGTTAATCCCATAACTGGACAGCCTAAAGAAAATGCCCTGGAATGAATGGGAGACAGAAATAACAAGTAGAAAGTGGTTTTGCAGAAAGTCTTCCTTTATTAAGGAAGATGTCTGACCACAGTTGTGGTTGAAATACTCATAAATAAACAATGTTTACCAACAAGAAGTAGTTATTTTCATGAAATAATCACTTCCAAGTGGTTTTAAAAGAGACTGCCAAATAGAATATACATGCAATTTGATCACACAAAAGCGTTAGGAACCAAACATCATGCTTTTTGCTGCTATACATTTTGCCTAAATAGAATTCTTCCACATGGTGAACATGCCTCTGCTTATTCAGCAAAATCCACTGTGAGTTCTAAACCATTTCCTAAAAGCTAAATTCCTTTCAATAAGGCACTAAATCATTTTTTTGTAAACACCAAATGCTTTCTTACTGCTGGGAGTGGTATTATAGACTTATTTTTTGATATATGTTCCAGCTTTTCAAGATTCTGTTGCAAACAAAAAAGATACTTTATGATATTCCTGTTTATTACTTTCCAGAATTTCTATCATTAATTAAAGGGCCTCCTTTCCCTCCTCTACTACCCAAAAAACTGATCTATTCCCCATATGCCTATCCGAGACCAAATAAAAGTCGGTCTATCACAGCAGCAGTGATGGTCATGCCAATTTCACAGTGTGATCTGTGTTTTCATTTCATTTTGAAAATCACCCTGCCCTCCATCTGTCTAAGCCGAATGTCCTGCTTTTTTCAAGCTAGGCCTAAGGAGCAGCACTACATGAAGTAAGGAGGAAGAGACACAGAACAGCCCCCCTCCTGCCCACTCCAGCTGCCATGCTCACAGGTACCAACACAAAGAGGAGAACCCCAACTGATTTCTGCAGGGATCTCAGAAATTTGGAGGAGAAAATATAGTCCTTTTACTTTTCATATATTTTCAAGAAGCCATTTGAAGGTGAATGTGTTCATGATGCAAATACAACTCTGCAAAATAAAGGTGAAAGATAGGAAAGACAATTTCCCATTTTTGTGTTCTGTCTTCTTACCTTAATTTATTGTTACCCAAGGTAACAGCTCAATATATAAGAATTTTTTTGTTGTTGTTTTAGAGTTAGAGTCTCATTCTGTTACACAGGCTGGAGTGCAGTGGTATGATCACAGCGTACCACAACCTCAAGCTTTTGGGCTCAAGCAATTCTTCTGCTTCTATCCTGAGTAGCTGGGACTATAGTTACATACCACCATGCCTGGCTTTTTTTTTTTTGTTGTTGTTGTTGTTGTTGTTGTTAGAGATGAGGTCTTCCTATGTTACTCAGGCTGGTCTTGAACCCCTGGCCTCAAGCAATCCTCCCACCTTGGCCTCCCAAAGCTCTGGGATTATAGGCGTGAGCCACAGTGGCCGGCCCCAGAATTTTTAAATATTAAGTCTTTTGGATATTGTTTCCAAGGACAAGTGTCAATCGCGCAGGTAGTAAGCAGAACACCCCCTACTCCTTGAATATTGAGCAGCACTAGCCAGCATCTTTCAATCTACAAACAGTTCTGGGTTGAAAATTGGATAAGGCTGTAGCTGAAATTGGGTAGAAAGAAGCCTTGAAACAGGGTTACAGAAGCCTTTCTCAACTGTTTTCCCTGGTGTTTTTGCATGGTCCAGAGCTACACTCAACCTGTCTAAAATGAGTGCACTTTTGTCCCTTTCTTGGTACTGATGAAATACGAGGTTCCTTGTCTGTTCTCATCTAGGACAGGACTGTGGCAAACTTCTCAGCAAGAGAGAAGAATATATGAGTACACGAAGTCAGTTGCTTTACGGTATAGCATTCAGACATCTACTGAAGTTCCTTTTTACGTATAACAGGTGACCACTCCCAACTAATCACTTTCTAATACTTGCTCACAGTTACAACTTAGGCCAAGAAGTTCAAATTTCCACTGGCCAAACCAAGGTGGCTGGTTGCTTTGATAGGAAAATAACAACATAAAAAAGCAAGACACTAATATTCCCCTATAACTGGGTGCATACATGAGAGATAGAGTTAATTCATCAGTGATTATTACCTATTGAACTTAGCTTTGGAATTTCATGATTCAGCTGCTTCTTATCTGCTATGTCATCTCAGGCAACTTACCTAATCTTTCTGATTCACATGTTCTTCATCAGTAATATGCAGAATACAGGGTGGTTATTATGATTAGAAAGAATATATATAGGTGGTCTAATAGAATGTCATGCAATATGGTTGGTGTTGGCTCCAAAATTTGTATGTAGAAAATATTTATGAACAGCAATACTGTTGAAGAGGCAGTAAGGTACCTGCATTGAAGTATTTAACTACATAGCAAAGACATATTCTGACTTGGACTGTTTATCTTGGGTGGTAGTGAGGCCGATGGACATCATGGAAGACTACAAAAGACAATGCCTTGTCCCAGGCCACCATATGATAGATGTTAATTAATTACAACTATTATTGTTACCTTGAAAACTACACTATTTACAGGTACCTCACTGGGATAAGCCAAATTCATATTTTGCTATCTTGTGTACGTCCCTAATTCTTGATTGAAAAATTACATTCTCCCTTAAAGTCTATGGTCTCTAGGTCAGTTTAATCTAGGGGTATTTTTTAAATTAGTGATTATATATAATTTTATGGAATAATTAAGCCCCTAGTTTTTCACAGCCCCATCATGGGCACTAATAAATTGAAAAGACATTATACAAAAATAGCCCCAGGACAATAACATGGAATCTACAGAATCTATTCCAAATACATAATGAAGAATGAAAGAAAACCCAGAATGATATCTTGTACAGTCTAGCAAACCTACATAGAAATCTTCAAACTAAGAATCTGGAAAAAAATTAAAGTGTAAGCAATGTTTTTTTATTTTAACAGAAGAAAATCCATATTTATTAGCTCAATATCCAAAATCCCTAGAAGGCTGACAAGTACAAACTGAGCATGTGTGTCTCTCACACACCCACACATCACTGGCAGACAAATCTAGTAGTTAAGAGAGAAGAGTAAAAATGCATAGGGAAAGGAGCACATTTTAATGTCTTGGATTTTCCCCTCTTGGAAAAGACTGAAGTCATGCATTTCTCGAACTTTTCTACTTAGTAGTGAAAGTTGGAACTCCAGCGCAATGGGGATGGCCAAGGGTAAACGCCAATATATACTCAGTAATATTTGTTATGGGAAAAAAAGAGCGGGAGATACTTTGACCTAAAACCGAACTTCTTCCAGTACCAATCAAGATTCACAGTCCTTTTTCCTCATTAACATCTGGAAACCACCAAATTAAGGATTCCTGCTCGCCGCTCTATTCTATTCTTACAAAGTGTGCCCTCGGGGCAGCGTAAAAAGAACCTGCTCTAATTCCAGGGGAATTCGAAGAGATAACTCGCCTTTTGCCATCCCGGTCCTTTTAGTAAAACTAAACCAAAAGGCAGCATTAGTATCGACGACACCGAGCACAAGGCTCAAAATCGCCAGGAACATGGGGCCGGAAACCTTTCTCCGCCGCGCCAGAGATCAAGGTGCCAAAACAGACACAGTGAGCGCCCCTGATCTTTAGGGGGCAGGGAAGGAGGGTTACCCTGCATCCCCACCGGCCGCGGGTCGGGTAGGTACAGCCGGGACTACGCCTCCCAGCATGCAGCGCGGCTACGTCCCGCGCCGCGGCACGGCTGGAACGGTGCAGGCAGGGACCAGGAGATTCAGTCTCTGAACGGCCCGGAGGAGTAGCCTTTCCCCTCCTGAATGCCGCCACTCCGCAGTCCACAGTATTTGAAGATCAAACCAAAACTCAGAGACTGACGAGAATGGTCCCTTTTTATTCCTAACAGATTTCTTGCGACAAGGAAACCGGCAGTCTTCCGCTTCCGGTTGCCCTGTTGCCGTGGTAACCGCACGCATAACAGCCGTGGTGATTATGGCGGTCCTGAGCGGCGCGCAGATCCCCGACGGGGAGTTCACCGCGGTCGTGTACCGGCTCATCCGCGATGCCCGCTACGCTGAGGCGGTGCAGCTGCTGGGCCGAGAGCCGCAGCGGAGCCCTAGGACTCGCGCAGGCCTGTCGCTGCTAGGCTACTGCTACTACCGCCTGCAGGAGTTCGCGCTGGCGGCCGAGTGCTATGAGCAGCTGGGCCAGCTGCACCCGGAACTGGAGCAGTACCGCCTGTACCAGGCCCAGGCCCTGTACAAGGCCTGCCTTTATCCGGAGGCCACCCGGGTCGCCTGCCTTCTCCTGGATAACCCCGCGTACCACAGCCGGGTCCTCCGCCTGCAGGCTGCCATCAAGTACAGTGAGGGTGATCTGCCGGGGTCCAGGAGCCTGGTAGAGCAGCTGCTGAGTGGGGAAGAGGGAGAAGAAAGTGGGGGCGAGAATGAGACCGATGGCCAGGTCAGCCTGGGTTGTTTGCTGTACAGGGAGGGGCAGTATGAAGCTGCATGCTCCAAGTTTTTTGCCGCCCTGCAGGCTTCGGGCTACCAGCCTGACCTTTCCTACAACCTGGCTTTGGCCTATTACAGCAGCCGACAATATGCCTCAGCGCTGAAGCATATCGCTGAGATTATTGAGCGGGGTATCCGACAGCACCCTGAGCTAGGTGTGGGCATGACCACTGAGGGCATTGATGTTCGCAGTGTTGGCAACACCTTAGTCCTCCACCAGACTGCTCTGGTGGAAGCCTTCAACCTTAAGGCAGCTATAGAATACCAACTGAGAAACTATGAGGCAGCTCAAGAAGCCCTCACTGACATGCCACCCAGGGCAGAGGAAGAGTTGGACCCTGTGACCCTACACAACCAGGCACTAATGAACATGGATGCCAGGCCTACAGAAGGGTTTGAAAAGCTACAGTTTTTGCTCCAACAGAATCCCTTTCCTCCAGAGACTTTTGGCAACCTGTTGCTGCTCTACTGTAAATATGAGTATTTTGACCTAGCAGCAGATGTCCTGGCAGAAAATGCCCATTTGATTTATAAGTTTCTCACACCCTATCTCTATGACTTCTTGGATGCCATGATCACTTGCCAGACAGCTCCTGAAGAGGCTTTCATTAAGCTTGATGGGCTAGCAGGGATGCTGACTGAGGTCCTCCGGAAACTCACCATACAAGTACAGGAAGCAAGACACAATAGAGATGATGAAGCTATCAAAAAGGCAGTGAATGAATATGATGAAACCATGGAGAAGTATATTCCCGTGTTGATGGCTCAGGCAAAAATCTACTGGAACCTTGAAAATTATCCAGTGGTGGAAAAGATCTTCCGCAAATCTGTGGAATTCTGTAACGACCATGATGTGTGGAAGTTGAATGTGGCTCATGTTCTGTTCATGCAGGAAAACAAATACAAAGAAGCCATTGGTTTCTATGAACCCATAGTCAAGAAGCATTATGATAACATCCTGAATGTCAGTGCTATTGTGCTGGCTAATCTCTGTGTTTCCTACATTATGACAAGTCAAAATGAAGAAGCAGAGGAATTGATGAGGAAGATTGAAAAGGAGGAAGATCAGCTGTCTTATGATGACCCAAATAGGAAAATGTACCATCTCTGCATTGTGAATTTGGTGATAGGAACTCTTTATTGTGCCAAAGGAAACTATGAGTTTGGTATTTCTCGAGTTATCAAAAGCTTGGAGCCTTATAATAAAAAGCTGGGAACAGATACCTGGTATTATGCCAAAAGATGCTTCCTGTCCTTGTTAGAAAACATGTCAAAACACGCAATCATGCTTCGTGATAGTGTTATTCAAGAATGTGTCCAGTTTCTAGAACACTGTGAACTTCATGGCAGAAACATACCTGCTGTTATTGAACAACCCCTGGAAGAAGAGAGAATGCATGTTGGAAAGAATACAGTCACAGATGAGTCTAGGCAGTTAAAAGCTTTGATTTATGAGATTATAGGATGGAATATATAGTAATAGCTGATAATGGCATTTATCAAATGGCTTTGTTCTATAAATTTGCATTGCTTTATTTAACCTTTGGCATCTTTATATTTGTTACATGTTGAACTTTGTACACTATGCAATATAAAAAAAAAAGTAGCCAAAACTTTTGCTGTTACATTTCCCAGAAAGTGAAACATTCTAAGAACTTTTACCCCAGGGGTTATGAAAAATTCCAAACTTATGAAGAATGTTTCTATCAGAAGTTGTAATACCTTTGTTTCCTTTCCTCTGTAACCTTGTGCTCTGATCTCTCTTCAGGGGCCTTTGCACAAGGATTACATCATTCAGGGACCAAGCACTATCTCAGTAATAGTTAGGAGTAGTCTTTAAATAACCATTTCAGGGATTGTGTGTTCTAGTCTCACAATTTACACTCATTAATTTGTAATGCATACTTTTTATATAGACTTTAGGATACTTTGGCAGTGTTTTTTAATATGGATATAATGCTTTATCTAACCAAAATGCCTTAGGGTATAAGTGGGGTTTTTTTTTTTTTTAAACGGGCAAAAGTCAGTAAAAAATTTTGTAGCTTTAATAAAATTATGATGCTATAATGTAGACACAATGAACAATTATCAAAGAACAAATTTCCCTGGTTTTCTTTTGTTCCCTTTAATAATTTAAATATATGAACAAGATATGCTGTTACTATTTTCCATGATGACTTTTTAAATATTTATCTCTGTGACAAATAACAGATGTATCCTGAGAACTCAGGGGTTTAAGAGACAGAGGTTTTGTTATGTTTGTTGCCCAGGTTAGTATCCAACTCCTAGGCTTAAGCATACTCCCACTTCAGCTTCCCAAGTAGCTGGGACTACTGGTGCAAATCACTGGGTCCAGCTCTCAGTTCTTAATTCCTACGTTTGTGCTTGCAATTTAGGATATGCGGGGTGTACAGTGTTTCCATGTTGTAGCCTCTTGGATAAGGAAAAATCTTGGCCACCAGGCCTGGCCAAAAAGGTCAACTCTAAGTTGTAGTGTTCATTTCATGTCCACAACTCCCAAGAGTTTTTTGGAGTTCCCTCTGGGAACCACATGCATTCTGATCAGGCATTTTATTTTCTGAACCTTAAAAGAGCTTTACTATTTGATTTCCCACTCCTCTCTTTCCACAAAAAGACCTAACTTGACCCGGCTTAGAAAAATCAAGTGTATTAGATTGAATCATATGAAGTTGTTGATTTTGACAGTTTTTGACTTAGAAAACTAGCAGTTTCTCATAGCTCAACCTAGTAGCTTTCTTCTGAATGATAGGGAACCTCTGCCATAATGAGATGATTTTTTTCCTTCAAGGAAAAGGAACCACTTAGCCACACAGGTACTGATAAAAACATGCTCAGCATAATTCCTCTGTAGCATGACCTCAAATTGTGCTCAAATTGTATTATACCAGGAAATTTGGCTTTTTGTGAAGTTAATGGTTTTGAATTTATGGCATTTTAAATCTTAATTATCTGAGCTGCTATCATTTACCACTGATGCTTTAGTGTCACATGTGGAGGACAAGCAATGTTTACTGACCTCTTCACTGCATCCCATAGCACATTCAATGTTTGGGAAATGTTCTTTGTTTAACAACTTCTGTACTAAAAGTGTTGCTGCAGTAGCTTTGTGCCCCTGTCAATCTTGGTAGCCTCTTAAGATTTGGAAAGTAAATGAACTGAAATCTTGTTTTCAATGGCCATATTAAAATTCTGTTTTTTTCCTGTTTCTTCTAAACCATGCTATTTTCTTTAGGGGAAAAAAAGCATAAAGTGTAACTAATGTTAACCACCCAAAAACAAATGTTTTCCAGATTCCCTTTTGCAAATAGCCTGGTCTTTATTTGGCCACAATTTACCCAGGTGTTATGTGTTTGTGGTTTTCATGTATGTGTAATTTAACTTTTCAGAACATAAAAAGCTTTTCTGAATGGTTTTTAACCCCTTGCTGCTGGGCATTTGGGATTTCCTAGTTAGTAATGTATAAGGAAATCCTGACTGCTCACACCAGTAAGAAACAAAGGTGAACCATGCCATTTGTCCCCTTCCTTACCCTGGCTCTCAGATAGGCACCCACGCAGATTCAGATTGCTGCTGGCGGCAACAAAGTCTTATGAACCACACAGAGTCAAGAAGTCTGGTGCTGAGGCCTGGGAAGACAGGGCATTCCTAACTCCCCTGGCACTTGTTGTCCTTATTTTCAGGATATACATCTTTAAAACTCACATTCAAAGTACCCTGCCTTGCTTGATTCTAAAAAGCAAATGACTTTACAATGACCCCATATTTTGCCATTTGAGTGAAAGCTTCTGTACCTAAAACTCAAATGAAAGCTTTGTTCTGTGCTCCTAGAGTATATAAAGTGCTAAAAGCACTTTTCTTGACAATGAGCTCCTTATAGAAATATAAGGAATCTTTTAAGATTTATTCATAATACCTGCATAGTCTATTTTAAAGGACTCAAATATTAATTATTTCATCTTAGTCAACCCTTTGGTCTCCACACGGGCACACACAAGATAGGAGTGTGTGCGCTTATACACAAGTAGTTATATTTGTTTTCTCAAGAACAAGAACTTGATCTCTTAGTGCAGAACCAGCAAAAACATACTCCTTTGATCAGTGGCATGACATGCCTGTCAAAGGATTTTTATTCCTCATGACAGTCCCCCTTTGAATGTGGCCTTAGCTGCAGAATGGAAAAAAATGTCCACACCCAAAATGTCCAGATGTTTGCCCCAATACCATCTGTGAAGGTCAGGTGTGGTGGCTAAGTCTGACCCATTCATGAGAAGCAGACAATTATGACTGTGTGGGAATGAAGGTGGGTCATCTGGCAATGAGACAGCTATAATCATAAGAGGGACACTCCTAACCTGAGGGGTGTGTGGCCTCACAGGCTTAGAGAAGCACCTCAGATGGAATCCATACAGAATCACAGTGATAGGTTTGGCCCAAGGTTAGACTGATTTGTTTAGAGAGGGCTATGGGATAGATGCCCAAATAAATATACTTATTAGGAAATATGAGATTAGAAAGGGTAAATGGCTTGGAGGGGAAGCTTTAAAAGTAACTTTCTGACCCCTCTGCCCCATAATCCTCATCTGGGCTCATTTTCTCCCTGGTGTCCTGGAGGGTTAACAGTGTTGGAAGTCTGACTACAGTTAAGCAGAGTGAGACTGCGTAAACAACCTAACTTTAAAAGGATAACATCACTAAAGAAAGACTTTACAAGTGAGTATCAGGATTTTCAAATATAATTTTTGTTTCAGGTTCCCTCTCTTCTTTTTCTTATTGACTCTGGGTGATCTGGAAAGACCTAGAGGTTGTGTTTCTGAGAGCATTCTCTGCAGAGCTTGGTGTTCCAAAGGCCACAAAGGATTTTAGACCCTGTACCCTGGACATGTTCCAAGACTCTCACATTATGTCAGACATGCAAGCCCTGCCCCAGCTTCTCCCAACACTCAGCTTTTCCTGGTATTAGTAGTTTCCTGGTTATTAGTGTGACTTGCAGCTCATTCTCCACCATTCACTAAATGCCTCTTATCCTTTGTTGACCTACCTCTGGGACTAAAGTGACATTTGGGTTTTCTGTAGTTTTCAGTTTTTGGGCTATGCCCTTAGTATTAAGTCAAACCGTATTTTGTCATGAGCCAGTAACTCTTGGGTTTTGGTTGTCCAACTACATAATCACCATGACTGTAACCATCAGATTCTAAACTGATACCTTCATTCTAGTTATAAGCTATATACTTTTTGAGTACCCTAATGTAGCTCAAACCCTTCAGCAGCAACCTGAATTCTTAAATTAGTATTTTTAAGGAATTGTGACTTTCCTAAGAACCTAGATTGTTGTCTCTAGGTTATAATAAAACATTTCTTTAATCTCAAACAGTTCTTTCAATTTTCAGTCTCCCAATGGAAGATGTATAACTTTTAGAAAAAGGTTGTCTTATATTTTTAAGTGCAGCTCAAAGAATACTAAAGTTATAAAAATGCAAATTTATTCACTCCATCAGATACTTCCTTTTATGAGTTTCATATTAAACCCACAAAATCAGTGCAGGATACTGTGGGTTAAACATTTACACAGCAGGACAATATCTGAGAAAAAACCTTTCTGGCATTCTATGGCATGTGGTCACAAAGACAGCAGCTTCTACTCTGTAGTAGGAAGAGACTCCATTTCCTTACTTGTCGTTGGGAAAAGCTGAGTGTTGGGAGAAGCTGGGGCAGGCCTTGCTTGTCTGACATAATGTAAGAGTCTTGGAACATGTCCGGGGTCCAGGGTCTAAAATCCCTCATGGCCTTTGGAACACCAAGCTCTGTGCTAAAGGGTGGAAGCCTACCCTGATATACCATCATCTAAGCCCAGGACATAAAACCCCTTGTGGCTTGGAAAGAATCCAGGGCTGAGGGCATAAAACCCCTCGTGGCCTCTGGAATGTGTCTAGACTTGCTGGTTCCTTGCTTCTAGCCCTTCCAGGCTCCTAGATCAATTGTCTTAGAATTGGTCATATAAATGCTAAACCGTCACAGCTGTAAATCATGTGCTTAATACAATGCTCCCTTTCAACCCCACATTCTCACCACCTGTTTCTTTGATCACCAATAAACAGTAGTCTGGGCCTCCAGGGCTCAGGGCCTTGACAGCCTCCATACTCGCGTTGGCCCCCGGACCCACTTTATTTCTCAAACTGTCTTTTCTCATTCCTTTGACTCCGCTGGACTTCATCGCCCCCATGACCTGGTGTTGGGTCTGATCACCCCAACACTTGAGCCCTTCTCTACAGGACAACTAATAATCTACTCTAAAAAGAAATTCTGTGTACATCATAGTCATCCAGCACAAGTAGCCTACAGCAGTGAAGCAGCCAGCACACAGGTACTGGAGTTAGTCACCTGGCTCCACAGTCCTGCAATGCCACTTCCCAGCTACTAATGGTGGGTGCTTCTTAACCTAACCAAACTTCAGTTTTTTTCACCAGTAAAAAGGGGATGATACCAGTTACTTCACAGGGTTGTTGTGATAACAATGCTACCTTCTTGCCTGTCTGGCAAAAAAGGGTAAATTTAAAAATTAATTATATAATAATTCTAGGGTAGTGTTCAGCAAAAACACAGACACATTAGAATCACTGAGACTGAGTTGAAACGGACCTCAGAGTTTTTCACTTTATAAAAGAAGAAATTAGGTCCGAATAGGGAATGTGACTTGTAGTTTGTAGAGAAAAATGAATCACACCCAAAATGTCCAGAATAGAACCTTATCCACTGCTTCTTGTATTTAGAACCCTATCTTCTAAGTTACTTTACAGTGGTAAAATTCTGCCATTTTCTAAAAAGAGCAGCTTCACCTATCTAATGTTAGCACAATGAGGTACAAAGGACATGGCAAAACTACGCAAGGGTGGATTTCAGAGCTTGTCCATCAGGCAATACCAGGCCCAATCAACAGACTGCATCAGAAAATGCAGCAGAAAATGGGTTTGAGTCTTTCAAAAAGAGAAACACGCCCCTGAGGCCAAACATAGGCAAAAGGAAATGTGATGGCAGGAAGGTTTCATTTCTTTTTCTTATAGGGTAGCACATGAAACTGTAGT